AAAGAAACATAGAGAAAAGTATCTATTTTCGCTACAAGTAGATAACCTTTGGCATTTAAAAGTGTTGGTGGCCAAGATCTACCATGTGCTACCACCAACCCCTCCTTCCCCACAAGCAGGTAAGTCTGTGGGGAGGGAAGTGGGGGGCAGATTGAGGAAAATTATTTAGGGGTGAACCTCTTCAGCAGCTAAGTCCCACCTGGCTGAGGCCCCACTCAACTTACCCCTGCTCCTGCTTTGTAGCAATGTCCCTCACTGTGGGGGCCTCCATCTAGCCCCCACCCCTTCTCTCCTCCATGGACTGACCTGCTGGGCTGGGGCACGCACTTGCATGCTCTACTCATGCGCATACACAGCCTTGGATAAACTCCGAAATCTACTGGTGGATCGAGAGCCACTGGTTGTGACCACTGAACTAGAGGTAGACATGGAGTTATCCTGGGTCTGAGGCTCAAAAACAGATAAGGGGGTTGATGAGGCCCTGTATCAGGACAGGCCCAGCACAGGCGCTTGTATATTAGGCCTAAATGGCAACTCAGTGGTATTAGCTGTGGTTGATGTGAGGCAAGGTTCCAGCGCTTCCACTGCACCGCTCATGGGTCTGTGAGGTTTGCCACAGGGCCTGGGCTCTTCTGTGAGGCTAGACAAGAGGCCCGAGTGCAAACCCAGACTGCTCTCAGACTGATTGTGCTGGGGTTTGCTAAACAATGGGGTAAGGCGGGCTGTCCCCACCCCTGCCTTCAGGAGCTCGAGCTCGAGCTCTAGCAGCTTACTGCGGGGAGGGGCGAAGGAGAGTCGTCGCTTGCCCCACGCACGCGTGGAGGCTGTTCTATGGCTCTTCCGCGCGCCGCTCGGCGGGGGCAGCAATGCGCATGCACACAGGGAGCCAACAGTGACGGTTATATCCCGAGCGCCGGGTGATGCACGAAACTCCCCATCGCCAAGGAAACAGGACGTGAGAGGAAAGCGGTGGCCACCGATGCCCCGCCCTGCCGTCAGGACCCGCCCCCCCCGGGCTGAGCTGCGGCGCAGGCCCCGCCCCAGTGTCGCGTGCTCTGCAGTGTTCGTGGGCGGCTGCCATTGGCTCTGTGAGCTCCTCCTGTCTCTCCGCCGCCGCTGCCATCGGTATTGCTATCGCCATCATGTGCGAGCCCAGCAAGCAGGACATCGCCGCCATCTTCAAGCGGCTCCGCTCCGTTCCCACTAACAAGGTAGTGGCGGGGGGGGAGAGGAGGGGAGGGCAGGGCGCTATGACACGTCGCAGTGCCTGGGGAGCGGGGGGCGGGGCTACCCCCTTCTCGGGGCCTGGCTGCTGTGGGCCGACCCCTGCCGACTGTCGGTGGGGCCAGCACCCCCTGGCCTCGCAGGGGGCCTGGCTGCCTCCATGGGGGGCATGGGGGCCAGTCAGGTCCCTTGGTGCCATATTTCTGGGGGTTGGGGCTGGGGCCCCCAGGCTGTATCGGGGCTGCCTCTTCCTCCAGGGCCGGGTTGGGACTGGCCAGCCCCTCTGTTTGCCCCCCCAACCCACCTGGTGCAGGTGAGATCATCCATGGTGTAGACCAGTGGTTGTCAACCTTTTTTGTACCAGGACCCATTTGTAAACACCAATGGCCAGTCCTGACCCACTGCTCCCTGCGTGTGAGGGGCAGGGAGTAGGGGAGTGGGGCCCCAAGCAGCCCCTTGCAGGCTCAGAAGGGAAAGCCAGGGTTTCCCATGTTTCTCCTTTAAAGGAGAGTCAGTTTTTTAAAGTTTGTTGCAACCCTCTCATAAATCCTTGCGACCTGCTTTTGGGTCATGACCCACGGGTTGAGAAACTCTGGTGTAGATAAACTCTGAGGCAGAGCCCCCTTGCTTTTTACGGTGAAGGGCTTAATAAAAGCAATGAGAAAAGCTGTCATTTTGGGGCACGACAGCATGACAGGTCTGCCCTGAGGGTTGGATTCGTCTTCCCTGCAGGCGCAGAAATCCTTAGCTATAGTGTGAAGGTGTTTTTAAGTTGAGGCAGCTGCCTTTTCCTGGACAGGTTTGAATGCATCCTGTAAGTGGCAGAGCCATCATTTAGGCTCACACAGGTGCTGTGTGCGGCTGCCCCGATGCCTTTTCATAAGGACCCCGCTGATCCTCAGACTCTGGGTTCTCATGGGAGTTTGCTGAGAGAGACCTCACAGCGCAGGTCTACTTTCCAGCAGCACAGAAAGGCTCCAGGAGTTGGATAAATATTTGTGCAGCTGACTAGTCTAAAGTTAACCTGCAGTTCAGACTGATGTGTAGCTCAGTGGTGCCCTGTGTTATTTGTCCCTTCACTTCATATAACATTTCTATAGTGCTCCGTTGCTCCAAAAGTTATATCTGTCCATGCCCTTAGGAGTGTCTACATAAAGCAGTCACTGCAGTATAGACATGCCCCTAGTGCTGGCATGGATGCAGCAGCTAGTGTCATTTCACACTGCGGCTGCTCTCCATTAGGCTAGACTATAGTTTCTTAACCCATGGTACGCATACCCCTGGGGGTATGTGAGAAACAGGCAGGGGGTATGCGGGCACCAAAAACTCCCGTAGCCAGGAGGTGCCACCATTCCCTCAGCTGCCAGGTTCATGTCCGGCCACTCACCCTCTCCCCCCTCCCCCCGCCCCCAAGCTGGCCACAGGCTGCTGCAGGGGCCAGGGCAGTGCTGTGATTAGGGTGCCAGTACACACATCCACAGGAGGCCTCAAATGCTTCTGGGTAATGTGGGGCCCCTGCAGGACACATTAGGAAATTTGGTCATCACACCAGATGACAAAGCCAACATATTTAACGATTTCTCTGCCTCCATTTTCCTACGCAGGGACCGGAACAGTCACCCCCCCGCTGGGCCCCCCTCAGGCCCCAGGGGAGGCACACCTAGGCCAAGGGTTAGTGAGGAACTAGTTAGGGAACTTCTGGAGGGACTGGATGTATTCAAGTCAGCCGGTCCAGACGATCTCCACCCTAGAGTACTAAAGGAATTGGCTGAGGTCATTGCAGGACCCCTGGCATGGCTTTACGAGCACTCATGGTGCTCTGGTGTAGTGCCAGAGGACTGGAAGAGGGCCAATGTGGTTCCCATCTTCAGAAAGGGGAAGAAGGAGGACCCGGGAAACTATAGGCCAGTTAGTCTTACCTTGATCCTGGGCAAGCTTTTTGAGAAAATTATTCTGGCACATATTCACGAGGAGCCAGCAGGGGAGGTCATGCTTAGGGGCAACCAACACGGGTTCATTAGTGGCAGGTCCTGTCAGACCAACCTG